ACTGCATTATGAACAGGAGGTGAAGTCATCATTAACGTTTGTCTACTTTAGATTATTGAGCCCTGTGAGATAAGGCAGAGAGCAGAAAGGAAGGGAATAGCAATCAAGGATATTTTGTAATAAAACACAGAAGAGCTCTTTTGTCTTTACTGATGAGCAGACCAGTATTCTGGAGTTCCCCCCAAAATTACTTGGCATCAGCTCAATTCTGTTCCCCAACACCTAATGAAACAGACCTGCTCTGCATTGTCTCCCACAGACCCTGAACTGAATAAAAACACAGAATTTCCATTAGCATTATTGTTATCCAAAATTCTCCCCTAGTGATAAACTTTGATTAATTCCCACAGAAGTGCGGGACCCGTTTTCCTCACGTGCAGTAGCAGGAAATCACTGCTGAACACACCGGCTAAGGAATGCCACCTCAAAGACAAGTGCTACAATTTTTCTTACCCGACAGTGATAAAACCCAGTCTCTTTCCTCTCCTTCCTTTGGAAAAGCACAGCTGCCAGAAAAGGCAGCACCCTGGGGGGAAACGGGCCTCGCAGCACCTCATGGAACATGGGGAAAGCAGCCTGCTGGCTCCACAAGAAACCTGAGAGGGAAACGCAGAAAATACAGTGTCCCCGGATGCCTGGCTGCGAAGAGCTGCTGGCTACAGGCTCAGTCTGAAGTTTTGCGCAGGACCGGGCTGCGCTCCAGCTGCCAGAAGCAGAGGTGTGGCTTGCGCTTGCCAAACAAACCAGTTCAAAACCTCGCTGGCAGGTTTTTCAAACGCTGGTACAAGATAAGGGCAGCAAAGCAGCACCGAACAGGGAAGCCCTGGGTAGGAGGAAGCACTGCTCCATGATTAAGCCACAACCTCAAAACCCCCAGTCCAGATTTTCTTCGAGAGTTTAAGCAACCTGGTCTAGGACTTTGACCATTTCAAAACCTTTCAGAGTTTCAACATACTCTAGAATAATATTTTTAAACAGAAAGAAATTTCATCTTACAAGCCTGAAGCAAAGCTGAATGTGTCATTGACTGTACCTGCTCAGAGAAGTTTCAGGGAGGTCTGAGTCGAGACACCAAAATCTGGTCTGCCTTAGGATGCCTCAGAGAATATTGATCCACCACCTTGTCTAACCTCTTGCTATGTGAGCAGCCTGCCCAAGTCCCCCTGTTATTCTCATTTCCATGGAGCATAGTCTTGATTCTTCCACCAAAGGTTCTAGAAAAACTGTACAACAGACAGGGCAAGTTTTTTTTTAAGGGTCTGTTCTGCTTTAAAAAGTATTTAGTAAAGGAAATTGTTTATTGGACATTATTAATTTGTTAACAGCTGCTGACAGTTTGCTTGGCTGAAGCTTTTTATCAAAGAGTTTAAACTGAAGCAGCAGACCAAGAAAAAAAAATTAAATGTTTCAACAATTAGAAAGTGGCAGAGAATGTATGAAAGCCAGTAATGCAGCATGTCACCAGCTCCACACAAACATGACAATGTGACACGCTCTCAGCAAGGTCCCATTCATTAATCATTTCCTGTCATTAGTGTCAGTCACTAGATCAGAATTTATGAAAATTAACAAAAGCGTAGGCACTGACATTTATAACACAAACAAGTCAGCACTAGTTAGTGAATTTACAGACTTACAGTCAACACACAGGCAAATAGCAAACATACCATTGCAAAACAGACAGCAGCTTCGGTAAAGCTCTCACGTGGTACTAAATGGTACGGTAAAGATAGACACCACGCTGAAAAAGCAATTTCTCTGCATTTCTACATATCACTGCATTGAAGGTGAAGGACTGTCATATTAAGTTTATTTTAAAAAGTTGCAGAACCATAAATATGATTTCTTTACATTCAGTGTAATATAGCTGTACTATAAACTACAGGAAAATTGAGGTGGCTTCAAACAGTAAGCTAACATAGAGAAATTATACTTATTCTAAACAGTTTATTACAGACAGTATATTAAAACCTGTATTTTATCTTGTGAGTGCTCAATTGCATTTAAATTCAGGCTTACCTACATCCTCCCGAAGTTCTCTGTCCTCTTCCAATGAAATCTCAGCACAGGGATCTCATGTTTATGGAATTGCTCTTGAATTTCTCCCTCAAGAAAAACTGAAAGCTCTTTAGAACATACGCTTAAGAATTGTTTCATGGCCAACAGATTATCTACGAGCAAACAGTGTTTGTGTGCAGTTTTAGGTATCTGTAGACACTGTTGACAGACAACTTAACATCCAAAGAGAAGCTACTTGCTCTTGTCATTTCCAAACTAAGAAAATAAGCAAGCAAAATGGCATCAAAACATGAGGCAACAAAGGTGGCCTCTACACCTGGTAACTTTTTCTGCTTTGGTAAAGGTAGATGTATAGCTACATTCCATTCAGTAATTTTTTTGTCAGCAAGCATGAACAAATGAGATCATCAACTGCGTTATACAGGACTTAAAATACGCATAGATATCACAAGGGACCCCTTTTGCTCCCATTAGCAGCACTAAGAGGAGAGCTGAGATGCAGATGAAGATTCCAAAGGATGCTATCAAGGTTTACAGTCTGGGGTGGTTTCTCGGTGGGTTGATCTTCTCCAGAAATACCAATATACTCAATTTTGTCTGACACAACAGGCAAAAGACTCTTCTTCAGTGCTGTTATCTCCCATTTCTATAGATCGAGAAAGCTGAAGATCTATATTCTACTTCCAACACTAGACAAGTCTGTGACCTACAATTCAAGCAACTGCAAAAACCTGTCAATCTAAACATTTCCTGATCTGGTCACACAGAGCTCAACATCCCTCCCCCCCACAAAACAGCATTCCATCACTCAAAAAAAAATTGTCAGTAATTTGAGTGTTCTCTAATGAGTACATATTTAATGGTGTATGACTTTCAAAAACTTTATTCAAAGAGAATACAAAAGTGGTTTTAGTAGGATTTTGAGAATATGCACAAGCATACTATAAACTTGTAGATTTAAAAACCAAAGTTGAGAAGTGATGACAGCTCTCAAATGACATGGCCTCATTTGAACTATACATATTAAAGCAGGAGTGATACTGGGAGCCCCTGCCTTGGGTCTGACTTCCAGGAGAAAGTGAGGACTAATATATAAAAAAAAAAAAAAATCTACAGCAGCCCAGAGAAGCTTAACTGCACAATGACTGAAACACACACTAGTTCACAATATTTATTACAATCTATTGCTTCAGATAAACCTGCTGTATGGTTAGTAAACCCAAACCACATTATAAGAACCAGCAAAAAAATTACAGCAAAAACCACATCTCTGTAAAAGGTGCAACAGAGGTGAACAGAGGCACAACCGTAACCGTGTAAGAGCACAATTAAGATGCTCATATGTGAATACAACTATCCTGGCAGCAGATAATGAAGGTAACAGTACTAAACATAAGACAGGTAAAAATCAGAGCAATATTGTTATATCTGTATACAAAGAATGCAGCGCCTTTTTAAATACCCTTCTTTCATTCTCAATGACCTGTAAACAGAACTCTCCCAAACCATCTTCCCTCTGTACCTGAACTAGTATATAAAGATCTATACAGAATGTGCAAATCCAATATAAGTATTTTTAGGCTCTCTTCTTCAAATAGAAGAAATACAAGGTTAAAAACATTAACACCACAGATTTCCTCTACCCAGCATCTGCAGAAAGACATCAGTAGCAACACTGCCCAAGACATCCAAGTACAGAATTAGCAAAACACTGGACCAAGAAATCCATAAGGATGCATGGCATATCAACAACAATACAAACGTGTGGAAAGGGAAAAAACAAACAGCTATCAAGGGAAACTACTAACAGTGCCGAATTAAAGTGAATTAGGACTCTTGTCAGCCTACAGCAGATCTGTTCCAAAAAACACTCCCATAAAAATGGCTTAAGTAAACCTATAATGTTAACTGAGATCCAATTACACCTTAGGCAGACAGGCTTTATTCATCTACTTTTTTGTTAAGAAGTGATATCTGGTAGTTACATGCCATGCTCCATACTATTTAATAATTACATATTTATACGTATTGCTAGACTGGGATGTTGGGAGTCAAATAGCCACTCTACTGGGTTATTTGCTACTGCTGCCTTTTCATTTTGACTGCACAGATTCTTTCTGCACTAATCAAACATTTTAATATCCCTCATACCAATATGCTATAGAGCAAAGTTTGTGGAAAAAAATAAGTTAGACAAAAATATTACAGCGTACAAAGAGTACGGTACAATTTAGTTCTTGTAGTTAAGACTTCTGGCCCAAGAGTAACTTAAGAACAGTACCAGCCTGAGCAGAACACAGTTCTAGAGCATTTAAAAAAGAGATGTTGAAATAGTCTGGATTTACTTCAATGCTGGAAAGTGAACCAGAGACCAAAGAACTTATATACACAAATCTAAAGTGTAGCCTAGAAGCTCAAGCAACAGCTATAGTTCACTCCCTTCAGAAGCTGCTTTAGAGTGTTCCTTGCTTTTTGGTATGCATGCAGGTGTGAACTTCTTAGAATAGTCTCCGAGCTTGCACACATGCTAAAAGTGAACATATTCAGTGCAAACAACACACAAGGTAATTCAATTTACAGCTCTCAAACTAAAGTAAAAAGAAAAAAATGCTTACTAGTGCTCTCTACTGCTTGCCCGACTATCTGCTGTGGAACCTTTCACCAGAAGGTAAGGTGGTAACACTGAACATCAATAAAGATTCCTTTGGCCAGCATTTAAATATTCCCATTACTGAGATGAAAGTAAAATTTTATTTTCTAGGTCTAGAAATAGGCACAGAAGCTTTCTCTATGCTAAACACCTGGTGATCTCCGTGCAACACTGATACAGCTGCAAAGACTTTAAAGGAATTTTCTTTTTTTTTAAGAACTATTTACATACAAGGCCAAATCACAACATTGTCATCCTAAGGAGGTAAGTTTTATAGAAAAACTTGACTTGTGGAGAACGCCCAACAGTTGTCTAACAACTCATTCACAAGGTTGGAGTGCAATACAAAACTCGCTACAAAAATCAGTTTCTATTCTTCATCTGAGTACCGAGAGGTTTAGTGTAGTTGCCAGCACTGTAACAACACGGTCAAAGTCATTTTCTAGTAAATCAATATTGCCAGATGGGTACAGTCAGTCCACAGATACATATGACTTCTACCCAGTATAAGTGAACCTAGCAACAAGCCTCAAAAATCTCAGAGGCATCAACTTCAGCTTCATCAGTTCTGAATTTCATGTGAATGTTGGGATTATTGACCATGAGAAGGTCAGGTGTCCAATGTGTTGACTTCTTTCGAGCAGAAATAATGCACAACTATTGCATTGGGGTATCGAGCAAATGCACTGTAAAGAGACAGAACACAAAACCAACTGTCAATACAGACAAACAGTTTTCCCTATTCAAACAAGAACATTCAAGTTGTGTTAGAATCAGAAAAAGATGCTTTCATGAAAGTGACACTTTCGTGTTTAAATGGCAGCCTGAATATATTCTTGAGAAAACCAGACAAAAGAATTCTATAGATTTTCTAAGAGTTTCAATTTTAAAAAATAATACCTATTTTCATTTCTATAGGCACACTTTACTTGGAAGTCACTGGTAACAAGTTAAAGACTGGGTGACATGCTGACTTGCTTGCCCTTCAAAACCTTGTTGAACTTAACAGCAGTAGAAAAATCCCAGACAACCAAAACAATACTGAATATGCAAAATTAAGTTCTGATGCCACATGCTACACACTAACAGCAAAAAAATGAATATGCACAGCAGTAAGTGCATTTAGACCTATGTTCATTAAAATGTTTTGGAAAAAGAACCTTTCCCTATCATTGTGAATGCTACTGATGCTTCAGAAGGGTTCACATCAACAAGAGAAACAACGAATAAGCTAGTCACGCAGCATTTCACTGGAGTTCAAAGAGGAAAAAGTGCAAATAAAATTTGCATTCTACACTAACCCATAATTACCTACTAGCAATGGTAGAATAAAAGTTATTGGCATCCAAGTATCAAGTGAATGAGTTCTACTCTTAGATGTCTTAAGATAATTGGGCTACAAAATGTAAATCAGCCAGGGAACCACAAAACCATCAGATATAGAAAACTATTACACATGTTTGAGATTCTTTATACCATCCCTCTTAATTCTAGTTAGGAAGTGGGTAGCAGGCAGTGTTCTTAAGAGAATTTTCCAAATTCAGCCTGAGAAGCTATCTTCTGTCTTCTAGCGTTGTGAAGTAAGAAGTCCTGTGAGTTTTTGAAGGGATATTATTCTCCTTTGTTGAAAGCAGGATTAAACTCTTGCAGTAAGCTTCACTGACTAAAGCTTTGATGTTTTCCCAGCCACCCAGCTGAACAATGTAATTTTTAATTTAAGCACTCTTCAAGTGTCTCCCTCATACTGCTGTTCTCTCTGTGTATACACACACCTAAGTTTTGCAACATCCTTAGTTTAAGTGTTCCAGATTCATATTTGATCCAGTTTCTCAAGCTTTAAGGTATATGCTCTCTCACCTGTTACCTATCTTCTTTTTACATACAGTGCACACCTTCTCCTCTGTAATAATACACTTCACTTGTTGATGCAAGATCCGCTCCTCCTGGACCTAAAGAAATGGGAAAAAAACAAACTTGCTCAAAAAGCAATACCACACCACAACTCCTTTCTAGTCTGGTGAAACTGAAAATTGCCATATTTACTTTTCAGTGGCTATACCTACACTGACAAGTTGTACAGCACAGAAGCAGCAGGCCTGTAGAACAGAGCAGGTGGTACTGAACACCCAACATCCATGCTGCATGAGTTGCAGGATTTTACTTTCAGCTAGTCTGGTCCACAGACTAGGGCATTCTAACCACTAAGGGGTGTTCAGGTAAACTACTAAAGCACGTAATCTGGTTTATTTATTTGAAAAAAATCCAGTCCATGCTCTGAGACCATCCTGCAATGCACACCAGAGCACGGTGATTCCAGAGACACACAACAACATCTCATTCAAACTATATCTACTTGATACACATCTACCAATTTCAGGCGCACTACAGCACCATCTAGAGGACATAGGTACTGTATAAGAAATAGTTAATTTAGATGCTGAACATCTGTTTTAAAACACCATTCTAATAAATGATAGCTGGTGGCTACTTACCCTCAGAAACTCTGCATGGAGAAGATTCTTGAGTACTTGATTAAATCTTTTCTTCTGAGCATTTTCTTCAAGGACTTTCTCTAAGAAGATTCGAATCTCACTAATCTGTGTATTTGCTGGGAGTAGGTTTATCGCCTGGAGCAAAATATACTTAAGTTAGGAAAAATTTAAAAGGAACAGAGAGCAAAATAGAACAGAAATTGACACTTTTGGCTTGACACAATCTTGTTACAATCAGTTTGCTTGCCTGCTCCAGTACCTTCTTGTCATCTTCTTCCAACAGTACAAACTGAATACTTACAAGTGTTTCTTACCTTGGTGGTATCCAGTTTGCTGTGATGTAGCTCCAAAACCTGCAGAGCAGCCTGCAGATTGGCTTGAGGCTCCAGCACTTCCATCTTGATTGGTCCCAGGCAATGAACACTAGGTGGGGAGAGATACATCCGGAGCAGTGACAGATAGACCTGTTGCACATAAGAGGAAGAGTTCTGAAAGCACTGCACACACCCACAATTGACAGCATTGGTAGAACCCAATGATGGTACTAGTAAATTGTGCCCACGCCATTCAGAATTTTGAAGTGCTCATGTAAACAGCTCTTATCTTAAAACAAGAAAAACTGAAAGTACCAATGATGTTCAAGGCCTTTTAAGACTTGCATTCTACACTGAAGTTTTTCTAAAGAAGTAGTTTTAATCACACGTCCCTCATTTATCTTACATAACTCATTTATAACCTTTAGAAACCAACACTTTGTTACTTTTTACCATTAACTTTTTTGTACATATCTGTGGAATATGCACACAGTATTTTGTTTTCTGAATTCCATCAGAACTTTAGCCACAGAATATATGCTCAACTTCAGTGACACAGTAAGATTCTCAACAAAAAACAATTTTTAAAAATAAAAGTACAAACCCCCAATCATCTAGTAATTCCTAAATTCCAAGAGCTTATACATAGGTTCCTGTCCACCTACACAAACCCTGAAAAAGTCTATACAGAGCAAAAACTTTAAAGTCCCTAGCATGGTATGAATAGTCTAATACATCCTTACTGAAAAGGTAGATTGAAAAGATGAAGCTACTTACATCTTTGTTGCCATCTTTGTTTCTGTCATAATGTTTATGGCAGTAGCTAGAACAGAGAAGAATCAAGTGAAATTAAGGGACAGCTCAGGAACCTAGAGAATCAGTCCACAGAAATTAACATTTAAATGCTTTGATTACTGCAGCCATCCAAGTCAGATGACCATACATGTAATTCTGATTGATTAATCAAGTTGCACAACGAAACTGCACCATTTACTCTGCATTACAATGCTCAGGAAACAGAGGTTTTGTGCAAGTTTCCCACTCCCAAGCAACTTAAAATGCTTTCATGCAGAAACTAAATTTAATTCAGCTGCATAAAAAAAAGGGGGAAGATGTCTCCAATCAACACAGCACAAAAATATATGTGTAGGTATATCTAATCACAGTATCAGAATCACAAAGAGAAGGTGTTCATTAGTGTACGCTGCATACCAGGGTTGAACCACCTCTAACAGGTATTTGCTGAAACCAACTTTCAAAGAAGTTATGTCGAACAGGCCCCAGTGTTCAGATACACCTGCCAGTACTAGTTAATTCTGTTTTCATGTAAGTACTTTAGATTCACTCGGAAGGTTCTCTGACACAACACATCCAGCAAAATGCCCTATCTTTACTAGAGAGGATTTTGCTAACTGAAGGAGCTTTGCATTTGGGATAGTGAATGTCTCTCCAAAGTGAAAGGAAGCAAAAAAACACACAGAAGTTCACAAGCTAAGGACAGGTGGAAACAAAGAAGGCACTGATGACGGTCATATTGTTCTGAGGTGCAATGACAGAAGAGCATGAAAAGGTAAACCTCAAGCAGACAGCATCATCATCTGCAATGATGAGGTACCTGGAAGAGTCTAAAAGTCAAGAAAACCCAGAAGATCCTCAAGGCTTACAGTGTTCATGCTCCACACACAGCAACATTTCACAACGCATCCTGTCCACAGGGCAGTGAGCAAACCAAGTCTTAAAAAAAAAAATTCTTACTTTTCAGCCATGTTGGTGTCCTTCAAAATATGAACATAAATAAACAGAGCTTGCTCATGCTTCCCCATGCGACCCAAGAGCAGAGCACGTTCTTCTAGGAGACCTAGTTATAGCACAAAGGATTAGACACAGAGAAATTACAACACAAACTCCATTAGTGATCAGATTAACAGAAGGAACTATGAACTATAGTCTGAGCAGAGGTTAGCTACACTGAGACTGTAAGTCTACTTCACACTAGTCTCAGTAACATTTTAGGAATTCTTAAGTAACCTTAAGAAACAACATACTTCAGCTCTTGCTGAGCAATTCAGGCTCACCAAAAAGGCTAAATATTTAAGTAATGGGAGACACCACAAGGTCCTAGATCACAGTTACAGGAACCCTGTAGGAACTGGTAAACTCAATTGTGCCAGCAAAACCAGAGTTAGTATACACACCAGTGGCCTACAGATACAGCCATCTTCTCTGGTTCTAGTTACGCTGATTCTACAATAATTAAGGAGGTTTTTCTGTACAATGCAACAAACTAGGGTTCAGTTAACCTATGGATGCTGAACTCACCATCAAAGGGGAAGTCGCTAATTAGTCGACTAGGTTCATACCAGCTAGACTTCTCCAGAAAAAGTAGAAGCTTTTTCCGGTAATCCCCCAAGTCTCCTCCTTCCTCCCCAGCAGGCACCGGAGTTTTATCTGTACGGAAGAAAACAACATAAGCTACAGTATTTCAACTATTTCACTCCACTAGAACACAGAAGACAGACAAACAAATCATTATGAGGAGGAACCAAATGCTGATGAAACTGTTCCATGGGCTGGGATTCTGGTGCACCTGCCAAACTACCTCAGCTCACTAAAACATGTCAAGTGGCTGGTTAAACAATAAGCTCAGTTATTCAAGACCCTACCCTACCCTTAACATGAAGAATTCAGGGAGCAGTAGCTGTCATTTCACTTAATCATGAACAAAGTGTCACTTGGTCCCTTTAAGATCTCTAGGGAGGCAACAAACTAGACTTCCCTACAAACCCACAACTTCTATTGTTTCAGTTCCTTCATCACTTAGGATATCTTCTTCTGGATGTGAACAGGGAAGCTTTACAGCAACACACTGTGAAGGCTCCCCTGTGCTGTCCCATGCCCCCGGTCTTCCCACCAAAAAAAAGCTAAACATACCTGCAGGGAAAGAATTGAGATATTCTTTCATTAAGCCCTGCACTTTCTCACAGTACAGCTGGATCAGGCAGTTATGGAAGTCTGCACCAGTTTCTTCCCAGACATGAATTATGTGTTCCTGTAAACAGATGTTCAGGTTCAGTTACAGATACTTCCTCTGGGAAGTAATTTGGTATAAGCAAGCAACAGTTCCATGTTTGCCTTTAACCAAGCTTGACTTCAGGATTTCATATATTTTATTTTTCTTTGCACAACTTATGGCAAAGCTAGTGTTCTCAGAGACAGCATCAGGCTCCAACGTCTGGAGAACTAACGCCTTGCATTTAACATGTTGTATTGAATGTAATGCACTTGAGTTCTTACCAGGTAAGGAATAGTCAAGCTTTTAAAATTTTCTATCAAGAAACTGAGCACTTTGTCTCGTGGCAAAGCTTCCACTTCAGGGAGGTCTTCTGTAAATATCTGTTAAACAAAATTTTATTTACAGAGTGTTGATTTTTTAAAAATATAAGTGCCATACTGTATTTTTTTCTGAGGCACTGAAGCCCAGCATATCATCACATACATCCCAAAAGTAAGCATAAGCATAAAAAAAAAAATCTGAGCAGCTTATTCTGGCACTCAGAAGCTATCTCACATCTGAAAAGATTTAACAAACATCCCCACTTCTACCTTAGTTAGCACTCTTCTTTTACAGTGCCCAACACCTCCCAAATACAGGGAGTCAATTCATTATCAAAGAGGGAAGTGAAAATAAGAAAGGCAAATTAACATTTGACATCAAACAGGCTACTGTGCAAATATTGTGACATCAACAATATTAAATGCCATATCAAAGGTTCCTAGCTACTCATTACAAGATAAGCTTTTCCATTCTTGGAATACCTTAAGAAAAACTGAAAAGCTGTGCTGCTCTGTCTACTGCTAATCTTACTACAGTATTGAACATAGAAAATGTAATTTTATATTTAACTGGATTTAGCATTAATACATGTCTTCTTACATTGAGTTCTCCCAGTTCCATACACTAAGAATCTCAATGGCAAGGTGTCTGTTTCAACCACACTCACCTTCAGTCCATCTTCAGGAAAATCTCTTAGCACCCAGACCGAGTAGGAAAACACCAAGTGCAAGTTCTCTGTGCCTTGAACACAAAAAGAGCAGTGCTCAATGTTAAAATCCTGAAGATCTATCTACTCATAACACATGCAGATACTTTCAGGGCCAGCAAAGTTTAATTTACAGGTACAATCCAGTTTGTTTTTTCCCCCCACTCAAGTCAAACAAATCACACATTCCAGGCTAAACCCATTATTTTATTACTTTGCAAACATGATCTCAAACAGAAACAAGAATTAACTTACATAGTAAGTGCCAAACAAACAATACAGACTAAAGGCAAGCTCAGTTGTCTTAATCACATTCCAAAAGTGTCCCCTTACAACACAGAATGTTAAAAATATTTGGGTAGAAAAAACCCTGCACTTTTCATTTGTGTAATTTCCTTCATTCCATTTCCACCCTGCCAGTCTAGTGACTTTTAGAATAAATCGTCAAATATTTCATAACAAGTAGTAAATCATCATAGTACCGAAGTAACTGGCATAGAAACTACCAGAAAGGCAATAACTTTTCAACTTTTAAGAAAATTTAGGACCTGCCTCTTTAAAAGAATATTTTAATTTGGACAATTTGGTTCACAAAGTTTATAAAACATGTTAGGCAAACATGACTTTCTCCTCATCCTCCTGGTCAGAACCACATCCCACAATACCATCAGGAGCAAGTTACTTATTTTAAATATTTAAAAGCAGCAGCATCTTCATATTAGCACTATTTTAAAAACCAGAAGATGAGTGCTATAAAGTAAAACAATTAAAATAGCCCCCAGAAGAGCCAATTTCAAAGTTTCAGGCACAAAACAGTGACCTAGCAAATGGCACTAAGGTCGTGGGTCTGAATTTCACTGAACTTCAATTAACTTTCTGAATTAAGAGGGCACTGTGTAGCAATGCGTTTGTTAACCTCACTGAGAAAATTTACATAAAAGATAGGACAAGTCATTGGAGTAAGTTCTCCTGCAGAACAAGAGACAGAGAAGAGAAAGTCTCACTCTTTATAAACAAGCGGGAGAACAATTAGAATAGCTCCTTTCCAAATCACTGATCAAGTTGCCTTTGCTGAAATCATGACCAAATCAAACATGAAGTTATAATCTACTCAAAATACTCAAGATGGCAGGAGAGGAGGAATTCACCAAGTAACTACCAAAGCTCACAGATCAGAATACTAAAAGGCCAAGATCATATCACACCATAAAACAAAACAACCGCCTCCCTCAGCACGTAACATTCAGCTGCATGGGGATTTACACAGAAGGTCACAGGCAAGGATGTTTTGCGCTGCTAGAATTAAAGCAGACACTGTATTTCTAAACTTTCTCAGCAACAAATCCCTAATTTAAATGTGAGCTATAACAGGAAGAAGTTCTGCATAACACTATTTTAACAGGTAAAGAATGGTGTAATTCAGAATACTATCCACCACCCAATGAAATATATATGCTCCTGTGCCTACCCTGCACAGATAAAGTATATTTTGATGGGCAATGCCAATCACAGAATTAACAATTAATATTTGCTTTGATGCGGTAAACAATAAGTGCTTACTCTGTTGACACATGGCAAGTATCAAATCCAAACCAGTAATACATACTGGATGACTTAAAAAACCACAGCTACAAGCCTGGAGGAAATTTTCCATAATTACCTGAGAAGTACTTAAGAACATTTCATTAAATGCCCAAAAACTTATAGAGAAGATATGACTAAAAAAGTTTCCACTTCACTCAGAATGTAAGCAAAAGCAACTAAAAATACATACCGCATAACTAAAATTATAAAAATAATTTTTTAAAAAATCAAGTATTACTGAGATTAGAAGCTCATAACTACAGAAGCCTCACCAAAGGGAGGGCAGAGGGAAAGGTCTGTAGAAACCCCATAGCCTGAAATGTTTTTCTCATCTTATTTAAGAGACTCTCATAAATTATATTTACCAATTAATCAAGGCAGAATGGGCAGCACAGTTAAAAACCCATACTCACACAAAGAGATACATTTCTGCTGTTTACTTGGGGGGAAAACCTGCAAGTGACACTAGCGTAAAACATTGCACTTAGTAGCAATACATAGTTAATTTCCTAGGTTTTTTCCCCTGTATTGCATTACTCTGAAGTGAACAGACACAATTATCCTTTATCAGTTTTAAAGAGCTGAGCAAGAAGCATACAGGAAAACTGATTTTCAGGAGGTACTGAAATACCAGAGAAGCTCCAGAAGCCTAAGAGAAATTTAGCAAGCTGCTAAGATTTTAGAAAAGTATTCCAGACAACTTGGATAATTATCTCTCTTAACCATCATCAATCTCAGATAAAACAAACGAACAGCTGACATAGGTCAATTGAGTTGTATTTATCAAGATGACAGAATTATTTTTAAAATAAGATTAGAAGTTTGTTTTGTAAAGCTGTATGCTGAACATAACATGCCTACACTTCCCTAAGATGAGTGACATCACCAAATTACACCAATTAATATATGTAAGAGAGACACAGCACAAATGGTCTCAATGTCATTGTAAGTAATTGTATTATCATTGAATAAACATGTGACCAGCAACTACAACTGTTAGGTCATAACCTACATCTACCTAAACTCAGAACACAAAAACTTCATAGAGGATTCCTCATCTCAGGAAAGACACTACAAGACACAGCAATTGGAAGTTGGACTTTCAGCTGGAAAGCCTAATCCAGAAGTCAGACTTGCCTTTTGTCAATGATGGTAAATGATCACTGGAAGAAAATTCAAAATACTATGGCTCCATTTTCTAGCAATGGAAATTTTTATCAGAAATAAGGAATGTTTTACAATAAGATACTCAAGTTTTAACAGGACTCTCATGAAACACTCCTTGAAGTTTGCACTATGCAAGAAACCAAAGATGACAAGGATATCCTTTAGCTTGATAGTCTTTATCTACAACATTGCTGAACAGTAGAATAACCACTAAGCCCAACAAGAGCAACACCTTCATAAAAACAATGCTTTCCTTCACACTCACCCAAATGCTGCAAATATTGCACTGTCCTCTCATGACCCTTCAAAGGGGAGTTGGCTTTCTTTGACTGATCCACCAGTACCTGTAATGCTTTCAGAACAGCAAAAAGGTTAATTCCTTTCTAACCACAAATATCATTTCCACTTGAACCACAAAAAAGTGCATTTTTCCTGTTCTGCTACTAGAGACAACACAAAGTTTTGTTTTAAACACGCAGACCAAACAGGTAACAGGAGCAAAGACCAATTTAATCACAAGACAGATCCAGAAACAAAGTCTCTTCAGAATATTGCTGCTCACTGAAGACAAGTTAAAACTCAATACACGCTCACATCCCTTCTCCTCCCCACCCCAACCTCATACCTACCTTTCTCATGCAAACCTTTCTTCTCATACAGTATTATCAGCTCACTATATTTGTGTGCCTTCTTTAATACGTGCTCACTCTCCTCAATATGGCAGTGATTGTTTTCCAGACGTAGCAATGGTGCCACCAGTGCTACATTTGTCTGCAAGCAAAAAGGGAGCACTTAAACATACTTCTAACGTGCACCTCCTAAGCTCACAGTACAAAATGTGAGTTGGAAGAGACAAAAAAAAAAACAAACAACCAGTCTTATAGCATAAGAAATTAGACTTTAACAGCTTAACATCTTAGAGCAAGGCCCATCTTCATTTCCATAATTTGTTGCGACAGAACGACAACAATGTAGCAGAGCTATTCCCCTTCCAGACCAGAGGTCAGCTTTGAAACAGATTGTTGACAGCAAAGATGGTACTCTCCTCCATCTAACAGTACAAGGCAACACCAGATACATTCATTAGAACTTCAAAACACGCTGGCATGGCCACATTCTTTTGGCAAAGGCAGTGCCCAGAAACAGACACATCTGCTTTACTCCATGAAACTACTTCCTGACCAGTAAGCAAACCAGCTAACAGCAAAGATTCACAGATCATTATCAGACCAAAGACAGATGGTTGTGTGAGGATTTCTAAAGCAGCTCCTTATCCTCCTTCTTAAACATTTCAGCCTGAAATTCCGAAAGAGCTTGCATGGAAAAGGAAAGCCTCAAAGTCAGGCAGAAACTCACATGGAGGTAACACTTTAACAGAGTGGTATCAATGATTTGTAGCAGCTTCTTTTTGGATTTGATCGTTGGTGTTCCTTCCATGAGGGGTGAGGTACTGGACTGATGGTCAGAATCATTTAGCTTCTTCACCAGCTGACTTCTTTTCTGCAGGACATCAAATTAAATTTTAACAGGAAAAGGCCATGGATTTCTCCATCCCACCTCAGCAAATATAATCCACCAAGTAAAAAGACTAAATTAAACCAATTTAATAACTTGGTTTAATCAATTGTTTCCTAAAGAACTGTTATTGTTACTAACTAATCAACACATCTTTCCAACCACGTACACACCACACTTTTTTGCAAATGTATAGTTTTGTAAGATGTCCTGATATTGAGAAAATAGTCAGAAGGACATTCAGTTAACCTCAGAGACATTTTAGAAAAGTCAAGAGACATTTAAAACATTTGGAGAACAACTCAGGTTTTGAACTACTTGCCACAAAAACTATCCTCCTTCAGATAAAGGCTTCTTTTTAGCCTAGTGAGAATGGCAACAGACCAATTTAGATTCCAGTTAGAACAAAATAAAGAGGACAGGAAGTTACAGCACCCACCACCTCCTGTTCCACCTTTTAATGATGCTTTTGACCTATCTCCTGGATAGCGTCCTCCACAATATTCAGCAAAAAGAAGAGATCAAGAGTTCAAGCCCTCTTCAGAAGGCTACTAGAAATAAAATAGCGGCCTCATATCCAGATCTAGTGCATGAGTAAGTTTTGTCCAGTCCTCACAAAAGTCACATGTAATGTCTCCCACATATCTGTGAGGCACCGCACATCTTCAAGTTCCCTTGGTTTCTCAGAAGCTGCTGCCATAGTTTCCAACCATGAAGACAAACCATTCAGGCTAGTATGACAAAGCTGGAGTAGGTGTACTGCTTCCTACATATTAAAGTTAACCAACAAAGTATGCTCAAACTGAATAACCCTGCTCTAAAAACAGATACAGGAGCACTCACTTGAGTTAGGTAGTCTATGAGAGCTAAATGTGCCTTCTCCAGCTCTGCCCCAGAGAGCCCTGGCAGGGGGTTGGGATACTGTAGCTGCTTCCTGTAATCTGTGGGCAGGAGGTCAGGATACAGACCCATCACATGAGTGGGATCTAAGCAAAAAATAACTAGTATTAATAACCATTCATAACATCATTTTTGCAAACTCTTAAACTTATGTAACCTTTGAGCAAGCTTAGCTTTCCAACAGAGCAGTTTGTAGTCAACTTTATGTCCACAAGGTTCCAGATAACAGAATTTGCTTACCACAGAAAATAAGCTAAAACAGCATTAACAACTGACAGTAGGACAGGATTTCTAGGAACAAGCAATGTTTTAAGAGAAGATTTACTGTGCTGTTGAAACAAGAACTGAATAGCACCATCCGTAACTAATGAGCAAACATTTTCATGGAGTTTAAGCAAACACAAAATTACTACCCTCTAATTTAAGTTCAAAGTATTTTAAGTTCTCAGTCCTTTCTTTCACTGTAGTTTTCCAAAGTAAATATGATGATGTGTCATCAAAACAAGTAAAAGTTTAGGTTTAAATGCACAAGGGATGTGCTTAAGCACCATTCTGTGGTATAGTTCAGTCTTCAGGTGTTCCTCCAATAATCTTAGTTGAACCAGAAGAATAGTATCTTCTGGTTCTATTTTGAGACTCACTATTTTGACTACCAAAACCACAGAAGAGTTTCCTGGCTTCAGTAGCTTGGTCCATTAAACAGGAAATAGGGTTAAGGGTCCTCAGGTTGGTCCAAGTCCAAGGATTTAGCAAATCTACAGATGTTCCTTGGTTTTTATTTCAAGCTACAAGCAGGCTTCTGGCAACTGCTGAAACCCTCAACTTCAAGGGTCTGTGTACACGCTACGCAAGCTTTAAAACAGCCTACAGTACAAATATATTCTGCACAAAGGGCAAATGCATGATTTAACTCCCTGAAGTTAATTAAGTACTATAACCAGTTTCACAAAAAAAGCTACAAAGCTGCCTAGGCTATTTGCCATTCACAAGGGACTGGTCTGCACAAGGTAACACTGTTTTAAAACAAAAACAACACAGAGAACAAACAAAAAGCCCTACAGGATAGTTTGTGAGCTTCATTTCACTCCTCCTAACCAACCCAAGCATTTACCTGTACCAAGCTTGGCAAAAACTTGCATGGATTCATCAAAGCGCTTCTGGCAGAAGAGGTTGAAGGCAAAGAGGTTCTTTATGTGATGAATTTGTTGCCGTTTCTCACTATCTGAATCATCTTTCATTTCCTGCACATACAAATTAATGAACATTAAAAACTCTTGGGCCTGATAAATGAGAATGAAACACACTACAGAAATAACAGGAATATTATCCTTTGGAGAGTGTAAGAAGAAAAAGGATAATCTTCCAAAGTGAACCCTTCTGATGGCGATTCTCACATGCTATGCTTATTGTGTCACTGAGATAACCTGGAAGGTTTGATAGTCACCTCTGGTTATCTATATACCCCATCACATCAACTATCTCTTCACTCATTTGCCTTCTCAATTTTTTTTCAAGTTAGCAATACAAAACGCAACTAAGGCATTTCCAATGTAGTTCCACAGAAGTTTTCAGAAACCATAAAATCCTAAACCAGTAAGAGCAATATAATTAAACATACTGCACTATCATCTCTAAGCAATTATTACATTTCAGGAGTAACAGAGGCCCATTACAAAAAATCCTCCTCATTTGACAAAACAAAACACACAACTCCAAGCAAAACCGTTTACAAGCAGTCTGAAGACTTAAGTCCAACTGCCTTCAAAGGCTAAAAGAAGGTAACCAATTAAACAGCTAAGAGAAATAATCTTCCATATACAAGATGATATCTCAAAATCTAAACCACAATAGATCAATACACAGAAATGGCAGCACTAAGCTAAAACATGAGTCAAAAAAAGTTAGTTTACCAGTTTGTGCAAAGTGGACAGTAGGGAGGTTAAACTCTCCAGACTAGCTACAGCCCAGCAGAAGGCAAACATCCTTTTGTATACTTTTGCACAAGCGCATCCACTGCAAACCCAAAGGTTTTTGAGTACTTACTGCCAACTGCAAAGCCAACTCAAACTGCTTGTCCTGCAGGAGCTGCTGAATCTGTGTGGCTATGGACACCGGGATGAGCCGCCAAACAAAGTGATTACTTGCCACATATATAATATTTGTGCTGTAAAAAAGACAAAAAGGTTACTAAGTTCCAACACTGAGAAAGGAGCAATACCATACCTGGAAAAAACCCTGTTAATACACACACAGATCAATCAGATACAAGTGCAACCTGAGCAACAATGCAAAGCAGAAAGGAAAAGTACATATCTCCCCAAAGACACTAAACTCTGTCACTTACTCCTCAAGTGGAGTGGCCTCCATCCATCTGTTCATAAAAAACAACAGACTCCTTCAGTGCTATTTCTTAACCCAGGGAGTTAGAAAAGCTCTTCCTTTCCCCATTTTTCAGAGTGCTACCATACACCCAGACAGCCCAACAAAAGTAATAATCAGTGACATCCCATACCCTCCAGAGGTGATGAAGCGTGGTCTCTGCAGCTCAATGCTCTGTACCAGCAGCCGGGGTTCAAAAGTGCGGATCTCCACGTACCTTGGCAGAACAGCAATGATGTAGGGAGGCTGGTGTTCTATAAGTGAAACAAGTGAAAAATACAAGCTGATTGTTCTCAAGTAAGCCTTGAAACAAGCCATGACTTAAAGTAAGGCTTCCCTTCAGTTCTTTTTCACCCCTTGAAACATGTCCCTTTCTCGCTTATTAAAAACAATGCTCAATGCCCAACACTGACAGCAATTTGTTAATAGACTACTACCACGCTTTTCGTTCATCTTTCAACATCAGGAATTTCTGTGGCACCCAGGTGCCCAGAAGAACTACAGTGCTTTAGTTCACTACCTTGTGTTTCAAATCTTCTCCCTTTATAAAAGATACACAATATGCCTACTATTTTCTGAGGAGGAGACAGCCATACAGACTAGAAGCAAAAAGGAAGAAACACACAGTGAAACCTTCCACACTCAGAATGCCATGTGAAATACTTTGGAAACTGTCACACACCAAAACCAGCTAGTTTCTAAATGCCAGGAATGTAACAATTTTATCATATGTAAAGGAGTAAAGAAGCACATTTTTTTAGAAAAATTAACTGCTAACTCTCACCCATGGCTATAGGAATATCTGTCCAATTCAAGGCACATTTCTGAGTGCAGACCCCCTCTTCATTGAGCACAACCGTCAGATCATCTTGGCCAACCGCAACTTTTCCATCTGCTACAGGAGCTACCAACGGTTCCAGCTGCTTCCCCGTGGGAAACAGTTCTTTGATGGATCCTTTTCCATCCACCTAGGATAATAAAGGAAATAAAACAACATGTTGTTGAAAAGAGCCTTTTTTTCAAAGCTGCATAAGACCAAAGCCAAAAACCCCCTAGAGAGACAACCCACTCTAATCACTAACAGGACAAGTTCAATTTTAACAAGTAGCAATAAAATCTTCTGCATATCATCATTTATCTTGCTTATACATAATTTGGAAATTAAAAATTAATACTTTTATGTCTCAGATCATGTATTCTTGTTACTAGAACAGTAGCTGAGCACATAGTTCATACAGGTTTATAAAATGCATTGCACAGCAGCAGCGTCAGTTAAAGTGTCCAAACAATTCTTGGTGTAAACAGAGGATTTAATTTAGGACAAAACTTAAACAGTTTTATTCTGGCATGAATGAGCACTGCCACATAAAAAAAAACAAACTAAAAGCCACGCAACTTGCCTAGCCTTTTTCTCTGCTGTAGCCACTCATTCTTGCGGCCACATGCTGTCCAAGGAACTAAATCCACCAAAAAAGAAAAAAGTCAATCAGTGAGATGTTTCATGAGCTGATCTAACAACTCACTGCTACCAAAATGGAGAATCCTTCTCCTTCAACTCCAGCTACATGTTCCTGCTGCTTCCCTTACGTTACAGCTCAAACAATCTTATAAATCAACAGCTAGCCAGCAGAAAACAATACCATAAAAAAACAAACTTCTTTTTCTGCCTATTTAGTGAAATTAAGCCATTCAAGGATGTGTCAGGGAAGCACCAGAGCCAACCCAAAGTAGACACTTGGGCAGCAAGTCTCCACTCTGGCTGCTTGAGCAGCTGTACAACCACTTGTAGCACTAGAACGGCAGGAACCAACATCTAGGAAAGGGCTGCAGAAAGGCATCACTTATTTTGTGAGCAGTGTCAGTTTGAAGGGACTGTAAAAATTACTGTGTAGTCTTCCTGTCAACTACAAGTCAGCGTTGTCACCCATGTACATACACCATGTATGTACTCATGCACCTCATCTTCATCTAATTTTCCTGTAATATCAGAAGACAATTGTAAAGGCAGAAAAGAGAATTAAATATAGCTGTCAAATGACACGTAAGTGGAAACTGTAATACTACACTAACGACAGTAGTTTAGAGACTTTCAAACTGAAATGACCAAAGTTCAGCAAAAGAATTAAAAAAAAAAATGGTTAAGCTCCACTGTCTGCCAGATAAGAAGATATTCTTGGTCTTTTTTCCCTTCCAGAGCTATCTCCCTTCTTAATACATTAAATAAAATGCAAACTGAGCTTACACAGACTGCTGCCAAACCAAAACATACCTTTTCCAATGCCTTTTTTCTGCAAGAAACAGTGGTTTCAACAGTGATAAACAGAATATCACTTCCTGACAAATCAGTTTAAAAGGATGGACTTAGACTGCCCTTTCCAAAACCACATACAGCAAGAGTATGAGATGCTGGTTTTCATAAACATCTGTTAGCTAAATCCTTGAGCACAGGAGCAGCCTCCATAGCATTTACTACTATGCAAATCTTCTTAAACGCTGTATTCCAAACCCCAGTCTTACCCGTATCAGGTAATAGTCCCTCTTGAAGCCTACACAGATGGAGTTCTCACACCAGGCCATAGACTTGGGTACATCAGGTACACTGAAGTCTCCCTGAGGAAAACAGGAAAAACATGTTACAACAGCTGTTACAAGAGAAAAGCAGAAGTTAAATCTGACAACACAAAGTGTAACAGACAGCAGTGCTGCTGACACCGTATTCCCCACCACACATGCCCGACTGCTGCAGGTAAAGGAACGGCAGTATTCAGCTCAATGGCTCAATTTGTGCACAGTAAAGAGGTGTGCTCCAAGTTAGCTGGTACCTTCCTAGAAGAGCAGCACAGCTGAAAAATTCTCCACCTATATGCATGGGTTATTTTACCATTCTGGTATTCACAAGTGCAGCTCTCTGTGATTATCTACCTTCTGACTTAATGATGTACCAGGAAAACTTTGGGAAGAAGTGGACCCACTCTCATAGGTACACATTTACCGAGACTGCACGCTAATACATTTCGCTGACTTACAAGCGTACCAAAACAATAAAATACAGAACACGGCCTTTTAGTACTTAAAAAATGTCATTAATTGTTATTTCGACCATGTGTTTTCACTTTTATTTGCTGCTTCATTGTTAAGTCACTGCAGAAACAACAGAGGTGAATGCTCTGAAAGTCAGCAGTGCCTCTGAGTAACAGGAACACATCGCAAGCAGTAAAGAGCAACTACCCTCCCTGTTGAGGCACGAAACAATACAACTCACCTGCAGTTCATGGAACTCTCTATCCTTCCAAAAATAAAGTTGTAGCTTCTTCCGTACTGCCACGCACATTCTCAGCACCTCTTCCCCTGTATCTGACTGCTGTGAAAACAGAGAGGCCTAACTCACAGGTACTCACAAACTAAGAGGCAAATAAGATAATACAAGGCCAAAAGAATCCTCAGCCCGAAGCAAAGCTGTCAGATGAAGCGCAGCTTTGTTCATCCATGCCAGAGGGGCATTCCCTAAACAAGCAAGCACAGAGAGAAGGGGGGCAGGATACTTAAAAATTAACTGGCAGGGATTGCAACACCAAGGAAATTAAAAAAA